CCCACACTTTAGAAAGAACATCCTAGCAGCAGACAAGAGCAAATTTAAGGACCTGAAGAGATTAGAGGCAAAGGGGAGTTAGGGGTACCATATAATTCAGGAGGAACATTAAAAAACCCAACCGGTTTGGCTCAGTGGTTGGAGCATTGGCCTGTGGTCCCGGGTTTGGTTCCCGCTAAGGGCACGTACCTTGGTTGCAGTTTGTCCTCGGCCCTGGCTGGTCATGCAGGTGGCAGCCACTCAATGTGTCCCTTTTGCATCAATGTTTCTCTCTCTCTCTCTCTCTCTCTCTCTCTCTCTCTCTCTATTCCTCTCTCTTCCTCCCATTCTATCTGAACAAAAAATGGAAAAAAATGTCCTCAGGTGAGGATTAAAAAAACAACAGAGAGTGGCAGCAAAGAGAGCAAGAAGGCAGCATGGTAATGGGAGGGAAGCAGGGGTGTGGCAGGAGGTCAAGGAGTTGCAGCAGGAATGGGTAGAGTCCCCTCACTTCTTGCCCCAAAATGCATTCCAGATGGAGCAAAGATTTAAATATAAAAGTAATCCAGGAAACGTGAGTTTATGACTACATAAAAGGTTTCAACTTCTTTATGGAAAAATAATACTGTGAAACAAAAGCAAAAGACAAATGATAAACCTGGAAAAATTACTTGCAGCACCTGACCTAACTGCTTCAACATTCAGAGAGCTCATACAAATCAGTAATAAAAAGGCAAGCAACCCAATGAAAAAATTTGCAAAGGCTAAGTGTATAAAGTTTCTGAAAAGATTCAGCCTCACTTTATTAAAGAAATGCAAATTAAAACAATAGGTACCATTTTGTCACTTACAAGCCTGGCAAAGATTGAAAAGTGTGATGAAACCCAGTGTTGGCAAAAGTGTGGAGAAAGACACATTCTTTGTTATTAGAGTATCAATTAATATAATCTTTTTTTGGAGAGCAATTTAATAATGTAAAAACTTCAGCTCCCTGTAATCCAGCAAATTTTACTTCTAATATATCTTACAGATAAACTCAAAGTACGCAAATATATAAAAATATGTTCACCACAGCATTTTTCTTTCTTTTTTGACAGTATCTTCAAACTGTAAACTATACTTGTCTATATCAAAGACTGGTTAAGTGCATTATATTAATCAGTCAAAGAAATATTATGTAACCATTAAAAGAAACTTGGATTTTTTGGACTAAAAGATTTACAAGGGCCCGGCCAATGTGACTCAGTGTTTGAGCGTCGACCCATGCACCAAGAGCTCACTAGTTTGATTCCCAGTCAGGGCACATGCCCAGGTTGCAGGCCGATCCCCAGTGGGGGCATTCAGGAGGCAGCCAATTGATGTTCTCTCTCATCGATGTTTCTATCTCTCTCTCCCTCTCTCTCTAAAACCAATAAAGAAAAATATACATTAAAAATTATTTTTATTTTTTTCTTTATTGATTTTTGAGAGAGAGGAAGGGAGAGGGAGAGAGTGATAGAAACCTTGATGTGAGAAACATTGATCAGCTGCTTCCTGCGCGCCCCCTACTGGAGATCTAGCCTGCAACTCGGGCGTGCGCCCTGACCAGGAATTAAACCAGAACCTCTCAGTCCATGGGATGATGCTCAACCCCTCTGAGCCACACCAGCCGGGCCAAATCTCATTTCTGTCAATCAGATCGGCTCCCTATCCACTGAAATATGCCTTGCTCCTACCCTCTTATTTGCCTTTGCTTATGCATTAACTATACCTAGAGGAACTTCTCTTCCAGCTACAGTTCTGCTCAGCCCCCCCACTTCTGGGTCTCTTCAACCCTGCCAGGCCACAGCCACCTTGGCACCTTTGAACTGGGAGCTCCAAACCAGGCATTTCCGTGGCAACTGCTGCCTCACACTCTCACCCTCCGTGCAGGCAGAGGCTACTTCTGTCTGGCGCAGTGTCCTTTCACAGTAGATGCTCAATAAATAGACTAACCATGGCTCCAGGAGGCACTGCAGTTCGAAATTTAAGATTTAGTTATGTTCACTTAGTTGTTCTAAGGCAAGAAAACCAACATATGTTCAGTTGGTTTTTCAGCAACAAAAGGAATTTCTATTCACAGTAAGTTTACTCTACAATTCTACTGGAGTTAAACCAGGCCAATTCCCTTCTGGCATTTTCTTGTTACTTAAGGCTTTACTGTTTGATATTTGACTCCTGTGGCACTGAAAGGTCATTCATTTTGATAACAAACTTCACATACAAGATTAAAATGAACAGCGAAGTTTCTCAAACACCTTCATCTTGCTTTATTCCTTTTCATTCCCTAAATATTCCTACTTCTTACAAGGAATAAACAGTTGGATAAAATCTCAGCCTTCTTTTCCATTCAATAGACCCCATTTTCAAAATTTTTACAGCATTTCTAAAAGTAACATACACTCGGATCTTTGGTTTAGTGTTCCTTTTTTTTCCTTTCTTAAGTTTTAATCCTATTAATTTAAGGACAAATCTCCAGGCTAATAATCAACTACTTTGTATTATTTCATAAAAGCTTAATTATTTGAGATCTTTTCCTTTCACTAGGAAAGGAAATAACCAAAGGTTATTCCTTCTACCCTCAAGTTACCATTTATTCCAAGATCTCACTGGCTCACTCCAGAATCCATTTCCATAAAGTGTTACATGGTCTACACAGTGTGGTCTTCTAGAGAAGTGCTGGCCTAAACCAAGGCCTCCGCAGTCTGCCAAGCTGTTTTATAACATGGAAACTACCCACTACACCCCTTTCACGTGTGGACAGTCTGTGACTGGCGTCAGCAATGCCAGAATACCTACACGGAGAAGATGTAGGGTTGGCAATAGAAATTATAGTAGGGTTAACTACGCCAACACTACCAACCCCTCTTTCAGCCACTGCCACTGGGTACAGAGCCCTGAAAAGTGGCAAGGTGTTTCTGGACTTGTGTTAAGAACCTTATTGCAGTGAAGCAATTACAGCTGATAGAATCACGTCCTTTTTTTTTTGTATCCTCACCCGAGGTCATTTTTCCATTTTTTGTTCAGATAGAGTGAGAGGGAGATAGAGGAAGAGAGAGAGAGAGAGAGAAACATCCATGTGAAGGGGACACATCGAGTGGCTGCCTCCCGCATGACCAACCAGGGCCGGGGACAAACTGCAACCGAGGTACATGCCCTTAGCAGGAACCGAACCTGGGTCTCTCTGGACCGCAGGCCGATCCTCCAACTGCTGAGCCAAACCGGCCAGGGCTAATCATATCCTTTTACGGTGCCATGGAAATCTGTCTGCTGGCAAGATTGCTGACCAAGAATAAAGTCAGATGCTAGGGAAGTCTAATTTTTCTCTTCTACTTACTTTCTCTTTAATCCCTAGAGGAAATGAGTAAGAAGAAAGTAGAAAGAACAGCTGTGAAGAGCAGCTGTCATACTGCTGGGTGGTTTTTACAGATTCCGCATGAAACTGAAAACGATCTGAACCATTTCAAGACTGTGGCAAATCTCAGAGTCTAGGTGGAGAAGAAGCAGAAACACATCAGAGCCCTGGCCAGTTTGGCTCAGCAGTTGAACTTCAGCCTGCAGACCTCAGGTTCTCAGGTTCCATTCCTGGTCAAGGACAGGTACCTGGGTTGCAGGTTTGATCTCCAGCTCTGATGGAGGTCATGTGGAAGGTATCCAATCAATGTGTTTCTCTCACATCGATGTTTCTCTCTCTCTTTCTCTCCCTCCCTCCCTTCCACTCTCTCTAAAAATCAATGGAAAAATATCCTGGGGTGAAGATTAACAATAACAACAACAAAGGAAAACATCAGAGCCACAGAATAGTCACTTGATCACAAAGATTCATTTACTCCAATTTTGATATGGCCACTATAACCTCAATCACATTATTAAAACTTAGCTTGGTTTACTGTAAAAAGTGGATGGGGGGGGCACTTGACATTACCTATTTCTTTTTCTTTTTTAAAAAAATATATTTGTATTGATGTTTTAGAGAGAGAGAGAAACATCAATCAGCTGCCTCCTGCATGCCCCGTACTGGGAATCAAATCAGTGACCTCTTGGTCCCTGGGATAACACTCAACCAACTGAGCCACACCGGCCAGAGCCATTACCTATGTCTTCATTTTATTCTTAACTCTCTCTCAACACACACACACACACACACACACACACACACACACACACCCCTACCTCAGGATTTCCCCAGGACTCATTAATTCTACAGAGAAAAATTACCAAAAAGGGCATTAAAATATTGGTGGCTGGGCCTATCAGAGATCTATGAACACTGACCCGCAAGTTGATTGTCAGTTAAATAGAGATTACCATACTCTCCTTCCTAAGACCCCAATATAAATAATAGCACAGGAATTTTTAAAAAGGGATGAACACAGGGTAAGAATAGAGAAGAAGACTGGCAGAAAGGAGAGACATGGGAGGCCGGAGAGTAGGCACCATCTTGGAACAGAGCTGAGAAAGCTACAAGGAGGGCACTGGCCTGTGTCTGCAGAGGCCACGGAACCAGAAGTGAGCTCACTGGCCCCGTAAGACCCCAGCGGGAGGTCTCAAGGTGCCCAGGTACAGTGGAAGGCAAGCTTGAGACCCCAAACAGTGGTGATTAAAAGTCTGAAAACAATGAAGTGCAGTTAGACCCCTGCCCAGGTTTCCTCTCCCACCCCTCAGTGTTAACTAAACCGCCCTCAGAGGACAGAGGCTCGGGTCCTGTCCAGTCAGGAAAGGCTCTACAGAGAAAGGTGTGAGCTAGGACATCAAGGATGTGCCACTGGATGAAAGGCCAGGGGACAGGGGCAGAGGCAATGGGAGAGTGGGGAAAAGGACATTTGTGTTTCAGGTCCTCTCTAAGTCCTCTAAGTCTTTCTCTGGGGCAATACGTTTTAAGTTGCAATGTGACTTCCATGTTAGATCCATACTGGTCAAGAAAGCAAGCCTGATGAGGTTCTCACTATGTAGGGCCAGGTCCTATGAATCTGTTTTCCTAATCACTGCACAGTCATACTTACCTCGCAAGTTTGCTGAGGCCAAGGACTTGCTTGTTAGGAAGGTAACCGATATGGACCTTCAGAGAAGAGACAGAAATCATGAGCTCAGTGAAAATACAGTGCTTCCTTATGACAAAACAAGGAAGTAAGGAAACATAACACAGAACACTTTTGTGTAATTCAGCACAATAAAAATATATCTTTAAGACATCTAGAAGACTTAATACTTAAAAAATGAAGCACTTACATAGCATTTAAAATTACATAAATGCAGTAAAAAGAAAACACGTAAGAATGACTCTGTTAATAAAACAACACATTTGAAGTGCGGTCATGGTATTTCCTGATGACGTTATACTCTCGCTACAATTCTTAAAGTGTTTCCTCAGTGGAAGGGCAATATATCAAGAAAGTACAAATTATCCTGCAGCAACATTCAAATGTAGCCATGAAAGCATCCTTTAAATGGTCAAAGCGGTAACTATAAAGATTGCCATTCCACACGTCACTGTAGCCTTAAAAATCCCACCCTGTTGTTTGGAAAGAGGGGTTCCACGCGCTCTGTCATGCCTGGTGGCCTCATTTCTAAACTGCTGGAGAGTACCATCTTCCCAACAGGAGAAGAACACAGGTATACAGTGACTCTGCAAGAACAGGATCCTAACACCTATGTTCTTATAGAACTTACTTCAAGGCAAAGCCATTTCTATAATGTCTAATATATAAATGTTACTTCTCTTTGAGTCATGTATCAAGAATAAAAAAAAATTAGTTCTCCAAAAGGCTACAAGTAAATGGTCACTTGTAGGCAATCAATTAACCTAATAGGAAATTATAGATTTATTTGCATCATGGTGAGCCAGCATTTGTTGCCTTTGTTCAGCTAACTACCATACACGTGAATAATTGATCTACTAGTAATTATGAATTTTCATCTACTAGCACTATGCTCTGGGAATTTGAGAATACCAGCACATCACCTTCCTGGTCAGCAGAAGGAGAAAGTCAAGTAGCACCTGAACATTAGGTATTTCAAAGAAAAATTACAGTCAAAACTTTCCCACAGAACCAAGGCCTCTGTACCACTTGAAATGTTTATACTTACATGCAGAGATATAATTTGTGTGTTGTTTGTACTATTTTTGGTCTTCCTAAAGATCCTAAGTTCTTTAAATGTCCATTTTAGAAAATCACCACTGACTAATATATTTAAAACAGAGTTACCAAAAACACAAACAGGGATGCTCATGGTAGAAGGTAATAGGATATAGTGGTGAGATACTGTGATTTGTAAAATATATATATTTAGTCTTCATCCACAATTCCTGACTCACAGGTCCCAAACTCCTTGGAATTTCCCAAGGACCTGGGTGAGGGGTCTTTTGTTATGTTAACGAGATGGCTTGCACAGCACCTAAGAATGGGGAGGTGGTTGCCAATGGAGCCTACCACATGATTGAAGGGTTGGAACTTTCAGTCCCACTCCACCTCCACACACACCACCTGAGAGGGGAGAGAGGCTGGAGGTTGGATTTATTGACGATGGCCAATGATTTAATCAATAATAACTATACAATGAAGCCTTCATAAAAACCCAAGAGGATGGAGTTCAGGTAGCTTCCCGGTTGCTGGACACGTGGGCGTTCGGGAGGGCAGCATGCCTTCAGAGGGCACAATTCCTCTGCCCTTTCCTACATACCACTTCCTATGCATCTCGTACATCTGGCTGTTCCTGAGATATATCTGGTCACCATAAGCCAGTGACCTAGTAAGTATCATGTTCCTTTGAGCACTGTGAGCCATTCTAGCAAATGAATCAAACCCAAGGAGGGGGGTGCTAGAACCTCTAATCTGCAGCCAGTGGTCAGAAGCATAGACCTGATCTGGGCTTTCTGAAGTGTGTGTGTTGGCAGGGTGGGGCCAGAGGCCGGGGTGAGGGAGGGGCAGTGGTATTTGATGCTGTCTACCACCAGGTAAACAGTGTGAGAACTGAGTTGAATTCTTGGAGACCCTGCTAGCTGCCCAGAATTGTTTGTAGGTGTGGGACTCCCAACCCAACCAGGTTGGAATTAGGTCTGAGACCCCTACAGAAGTGGTCAGAGGCTGACCCAAGCTCCTGGGTCTGGCCTCAGCCAAGTCATTAACTCCCTATGTCCTCTTGGACAAGTCATAGGCTTTCTTTCTGGGCCTAATTTTCTCACTTACAATAAAAGGTAGTGATGAACTCAAAGGTCTTCTCATTCTTAAAAATCCTGAGCCCTACAGTCACAAACTCAGCATCATTAACTGTGGGATTGCCAGACAGTGCACGCCTCATGATGTGATGAAATAAGGAGTCCTCAGCCCCACTATGAACTACTTTTGTCAAAAATGTTTAGCTTTAATCTTAAGTGTTAAATATAATCTAGTTTATAGGAAATCCAGAGGTTGAATGGAACAAACGCAGAAGGGGAGATACTCTACAGGACAACTGGCCCACTCTTAAATAAGAGAATGTCAGTGGGAACAGGGGTATTGGGAGCAGGGCCCTATTTCAGAATACGAGAGTTAAGAAGTGTAACCAAATGCGATGTAAATTCATAACCCTCATTTGGATTCTGGTTTAAACAAACCAATAGTAAGACAGTTGACACAACTAGGAAAATGTAAATATGGGTTAGTTATTAGATGCTATTTAGACTAACTGTTAATTTTATTTATGTCGTTTGGACAGCTTCACCAGGAAGCTGCAACTTTGTACTCCCCAGGGAACCACTGGCCCATTCCCCACAAAAGGGAGATAGGCACATGCACAGTAAAGCTCTGGTGATATAGAGAAAGTACTTGCCTGTCAATCTGGCCTGGGGAACCATGGAGTGGCCAGAATGAGTGGGGCCACTGCAAGCCCATACAAACTGGGGAATACATAATCCCCCCAAAAAGGAGTTCACTCTGCCTTGGCTCTTGCTGCTCTTGGCTCTCTCATTCCTGCCTTCTTGCATTCACCTGTGTTTCCTCCATAGCCACGTGGCCCTGCAGAGCCCACATGCAATGGACTGATGGACTGCAGGGGGGAACACAAGCTAAGTTAGCCTGATGCTGGATTGGACACTGCTCCAATATGGAATAGACACTCAGGACACTGGCTCTGATTTTAGCCCTCCTAAAAGTAAAATGGGACTTCTGCTTGGGTGGACTGAGGCAAATGGGAACTTGGAAACTCAGGGATGTAATTCTATAGAAATAAAGCTTTCTTCCCTGGCCAGTTTGGCTCAGTGGTAGAGTATTGGTCCGTGGACCAAGGAGTCTTGGGTTTGATTCTGGCCAAGGACATGTACCTTGGTTGCGGTTCGTCCCTGGCCCTGGTCAGGGTAGATGTGTCAACAGGTAGATGTGTCCCTTTCACATCGATGTTTCTCTTTCCCTTTCTCTCCCTCCTTCTCCCTCCCACTCTGTCTGAAGATAAATAGAAAAATATCCTCGGGTGAGGATTTTAAAAAAAGGAAAGAAATAAAGCTTTCTATATCTCCTCCTCCCGTGCAAGTCCCAAAAAATTCTTTTTCTCAGGATATTGCAAGAATTCTACTCCTACGAGCAACAGGTGGGAACGAGGACCCCCTCCCCACTTCCACCAGTAACATTTCCAGTCCTGCATCAATGCCTAGGTATACACCAGTTTATTGTGCATCAATGCCAGACATACATCAAACCCACAAATAACCTTCTCACCACCCACTACGGAACTCAGGACGTGAGTTCCCCTGGCACCCATCCTCCAGACCACCTGGTTCATCATACAGACTGCCTGACATGTAACTGATCACCATCCTGGACCTATCTGGAGGCCAAGAAGGCAGGACTGATTATTCTCAGGGATATGACTTTTTACTGTAAGAACTCTGAACTTTTTTCTTCTTTGGAACACCTCTTGGTTTTTGCCTAGCTGTGTTCCAAGTTTTCAAACTTAAAACCCTTGAATAAATCTTTATCATTTATTTCTAACCAAACAAACGAACAAATAAAACCCAGAGGGAAAAAACAACAACACAAAAATCCACCAAGAAGAGAATAAATAAAGTGTAGTTGGTATGTATGAATAATGGAATAATATATAACAACGAAACTAAACAAACTACAATAGGCAATAACATCAGTGATTCTTACAATGTGGAGCAAAAGCAGCGAGACACAAAAAGCGCATGCTATAAATTCTTTCCGTTTATATGTCTAGTCATGTGCCCCGTAACAGAGATAAGTTCTGAGACGTGTCCTTAGGCAGCGTTGTTGTGAATGTCCCAGTGCACGTACAGAAACCTAGACGGTATATCCTACTATACACCTAGGCTATGTGCTAGACCGCCTATTTCTCTAGTGGGGGAGGAAACTAGTTCCCCTCTATCTTTCTGGGTTCTTGGCTGAGACATCCCTGTAATCAAAGACAGATTAACAGGAGAAAAATAAAGTTTAATAACATATATACCTCCTGTATACATGAGAGACACCCAGGAAAACTGAGTAACTCAGCAAAATGGCCAGAGCCACCACCTTAAACACTATCTTCAGCTGAAGACAAAGAAGATGTTCAGAGGAGAGTCCCTTATGGGAGGTTACTAGGAAAAGCACAGTAACAAGGATAAGGCTGTTAAGCAGATTTACGTCCTTGTCTTCTGCATTGATAAGAGTTTCTAGAGATAAGGTATCACTAAGCTATAAGAATTTTTCAGGTCCACTATAATTTTATGGGATCCTTAATTAACCAAAAAATCCTTATGAAGCATGTGACTGTAGTTGGAAAACAAGCAAAACTAACCTACATGTGTGGACAAGGGATGGATTACAGATTAGAAAGGGCCACAAGGTAAATTTCTAGGATACTAATAACATTCTAGTTCTTGACTTGTGGGGTAGTACAGAATACCAATATGTTCTGTGCATTTTTCTATGTTTTACTTGTATAAGAAATAAAAATATAAAATATTTAACAAAAATATTACATTTAGGTGATGGGTATTCACAGTGCTATTTCCTATAAATCTTCTCTTTGAAATTAATAAAAAGTCAAAATAAAATCAAATGATATAGGGGAGGAAAAGAGAATGGACAACTCTAGGTCCTAAACACATGTGTTCTCAAAGGTATGTTGAACTACCAGCTAGATAACATTATCTAGTTTGCATTAGACACATTTTTCCTAACATAAAATGGGTTGGAAACAAATTAAATCCACTCATACTGTAACCTCTGCTACGAGAAATTCTGCAATCATAACAGTTCATGTCATATTATACAAAAGTCTGTTTTGGCCCTGGCAGGATAGTTTAGTTGGTTAGAGCACCATCCAGATATACCACGGTTTCATGTTCGAACTCAAGTCAGGGCATATACAAGAATCAACCAATTAGTGCATAAATAAGTAGAAAAACAAATCAATGTGTGTTCTCTCTCTCTCTCTCTCTCTCTCTCTCTCTCTCTCTCTCTCTAAAAATCAGTAAGTAAAATTATTTTTTTTAAAGTCTATCTTGGCCCTGGCCAGTATCAGCAGTTGAGCATCGGCCTGCGGACCAGAGAGTCCCGGGTTCAGTTTCTGCTAGGGGCACATACCACACACAAAAAAATAAAAGTCTATCTTGGCCCTGGCTGACTTGGCTCAGCGGTTAGAGTGTCAGCCCTGGGACCAGAGTTGCGGGTTCGATTCTGGTCAAGGACACAGGCACGAACGTAGATTGTGGTTCATTGTGGTTCAACCCTGGCCCTGGTTGGGTCATGTGGGAGGCAACCAATCAATTTCTTTCTCTCTTTCTCTCTCTTTCTCTCTCTTTCTCTCTCTCTCTCTCTCTCTCTCTGCCTCCCTCCTTCCCTCCCTTCCTCCTTCCCTCCTTCCTTCTCTATCTGAAGATAAATGGAAAAATATCCTCTAGTGAGGATTTAAAATAATAATAATAAATTAATTTTAAAAATAAAATAGTCTGGCCAGTGTGGTTTAGTGGTTGAGCATCAAACCATACACAAAGGGGTCGCTGGTTCGATTCCTGGTCAAGGCACATGCCCAGGTTGTGGGTCCAATCCCCAGTGGGGGGCATGCAGAAGGTAGCCAATCAGTGTTCTCTCTCATCAATGTTTCTCTCTCTCCTGCTCACTTCCTCTCTCTCTGAAATCAATAAAGGAAAAAAAAAAAAACTTTTTAAAAAATAAAATAAAAGTATATTTTGGATCAAACATTATTTAGTCTAAATAAAGGACAAAGGTTTTCAGAGCCTGCAGCAGCTACCTAGAAAAAAAAGAGACTTTAATCTCGTTACTGTAACCTTATTAACATGGCATTTGCAATAAAATCCTTTCCCTGAGGGTCATCTGCTACTTTGCTTTTATTTTTTTATTATTATTATTTTTTTATCCTTACCCGAGTACATTTTTCCATTTTTTGTTCAGATAGAGAGTGGAGAAGGAGAGAGAGGAAGAGAGAGAGAAACATCGATATGAAAGGGACACATCGAGTGGCTGCCACCCGCCCAACCCAACCAGGGCCAGGGACAAACCGCAACCGAGGTACATGCCCCCAGTGGGAATCGAACCCAGGTCTCTCTGGACCACAGACCGACGCTCCAACCACTGAGCCAAACCGGCCAGGGCTACTTTGCTTTTATTTTTAATTTCAAACTATTACATTAGGCAGGTTGGTGAAGAGTAAAGGTTTATATATAACTCTAAATATCTGGACTATTTGGGATTAGGTGATAATTTTAAATATAATTATCCTAATTTTAAAACTCTCATTGTGCTTTTTTAAATTGTGAGAAAACAACAGAGAAAATCTTACCTTTCCAATAAATGGAACTAGATGATGTTCACACATGGAAAACATATCTATGTCCTTCACAATCACCATTTCATCGTGATCTTCATCAAATATAGCATCGTTCAGGACATCTGAAATCAGAGGTTTGCTTTAGTAACATTTCCAAATTTATAAAAAGATACAGAGTAAAAAAACTAACAATCTCTATGGGTAAATAAACTGACGATTATATTAATCCTAACTAAAATATTAAGGGAATGCTAATAAAGACTAGTTATTTTTCTCCCATCAAACTAGCAGTCTTTTTCTTTAAATGATGGGGAAAATCTATATGCTATAGTATTACATTAAAAAATGCAGGATTGCAAATACATTTGCAGCCTGAATGGGGGGGTTGTACAAAACAAAAGAGTGGCTATTTCTGGTGATAAAAATAGGATGCATTCATTTTCTTCCTTACATTTTCTTGTATCTAACACTTTCTCTATAATAGGTGTTCAGAAAACCATATTTTGGAGGAAAAATAATCCTTAGCCTTCTGACTTCTGAGGCCAGATCCAGACCCCTATAAACTTCACCTCTCTTATTAATCCCTCAAATAATGTTCTAGTCATACAATTTGTAGTTACGTACGCAAGCATCAAGCTTATTCTAAGTAATTGCCTGCCTTCCTTCCTCGGGGAATAAATGCTACGGTTTTTATGTGCTTGCCTGCCCAGGCAGGCTCTGGGTGATGAGCGGTGTTTTGTTTAACCTGTGGACTCTGGCACAGATGGCCAGACATACAACAAACATTTAGAAACAAAAACAATCTTTATTTTTAAAAATTGCACTGATATCTGGATAGCTTGGCAGACTGAACACATTCAAGACACCTATCTGTGACTTCAAGGACTTGGGGATACCCAGTCTATATAGTACAATGAGTCAGAGAAGAGAGGAGCTGAGCCCAGCTTTGCAGCCACCTCCAGCTGCTTCCCCTTGGAAAGGCAGGCTGCGGAGTGAGTCACAGGGAAGATGTGCAAACGTCCACCCACACAGCCTAGCCTTCGGTTCCACTGCTACTAGAATAGAGGTGCACAGATATTGAGTCATCATTTAACCACAGTTAGCATCCCGGGAGTCAGGCTATTCAGAGACACATTTGACTGTGTAGTAGAAAAGTCATTAGTGTGGTTAATGAAAGTGAACATGTTGAGTTTGGACACACACAAACACGACACCCTGTTAGGAGAGGCTGATAAATCCATCGAGGAGAAGGTTCAGTGCCTTTCTTTAGGGAAAACACTCCTCCAAAAGCAGTTTTTTATTCTGAATACTCTGCCCTACCCTTCAGTCATATTTCTGAAAGAAGTCTGAAAATAGATCCTTAGTGTTCCCCAGAGTATTCCAGATTTCTCCAGGATTTTATTATAATTGCCATACATAGCTTACTAAAATCTTAGTCACACAAGGAATCTTCCTGAAAATAAAAACAAACAAAAATATTTCTTAAAGAAAGAACAAAAGAGAACTGTCAAACGTAGGCCATACTCATTTGTTTTCTCTGGCAAAGAATGAGAGCATCCCCATTCTAAGCTCTGACAACAACCATATGGCCCATGTGAAAAGCTAACCCTCGAGTTAGGCTAAGTGAGCATCCAGTCCCATCACTAACTAGCTCGAAGACCTTGGGCAAGGCATCTCAGTCTTCTCAGCTGTAAAATGGGCATTAAAAAAGTGCTACTGCACAGTGGTATCCTAAGGATTAAATGAGATAATCCACATGTGTTTACAATTCTGCAGTGAGTAAGTCGTAGTTGTTATTATTACAAGTTCAATTAAGATTACGGGTGTTGCTAAACTATGTGTCCCATGCACAGTGATGTACATCAGAATTTAAAAAGCAATAATTTGATTCTAAAAAACAGTACAGCCCTGGCCAGTTTGGCCCAGTGGTTAGAGCCTTGGCCCATGGACCAGGGAGTCCTGGGTACAATTCCCGCTAAGGGCACGTGCCTCGGTTGCAGTTCACCCCTGGCCCCGACTGGGGTTGTGCAGGTGGCAACCACTCGATGTGTCTCTCTCACTTCGATGTTTCTCTCTCTCTCGATCCATCTGAAGATAAATGCAAAAAAAAAAAATCCTCGGGTGAGGATAAAAATAAAGTAAAAAAAAAGTACAGAAAAGGAAAAATAGTAACTTTACAATGGAGAAACCTGACAGACCATAATTTAACCAAGTGATCAAGGCTAACTTCACAGTAATAAGACACATTTGATACTATGTAGCTCATGATATACTATGAGAAGGGCACATCACCTCTGTGGTATTCTTCCCAAAAATCTGTCACTGCAGTCCAATCACCAGACAGATGGAGGGACAGTCTACAAAATACCTAAATAAGTACTTTTTAAAGAGGACATGAGAAGACTGACAAGCTGTCACAGATTAGAGGAGATCAAATGCAATGAAAAATCTAATATCCTAATAAACACTGTAGTTTAGGCAATAATATTTGTACCAGTATTCATTTCTTACGTGTTCATGACATTAGAGGACGCTGGGAAAGGGCATATAGGAACTTTCTGTGCTATCTTTGTAATTGTTTTCTAAGTCTAAAATCATTTCAAAATAAAAACTGAAAAAACAACAATAGGCAATATTTATCAATTAGAAATATATAAACAATAGAGCACTACTCAGAATAACTACCAATACATGTACTAACACGGTTGAATCTCCGACCAAGTGAAAGAAGCCACATACATAGACACAAAAACTGTGTATGAGATTCTGAGAAAGGCAGATGCAGTGGCAAGCAGACAGACGGTTTACCAGGGACCAGAAAGGTGGGACTGAGGAGTGGCTACAAAAGAATACGAAGAAACGTTTTGGGGGTGATGGAAACAATCTATACCTTCACCGCACAGGTGGCTATACAAGTGTATGTATTTGTCAAAGCTTAAATTGCACACATAAAGTTGGTGAATTTTATTGGATTCATGTTATATCTTAATAAAACTAACTTTTAAAAATAAAAATTTAAAAACTGTAGTACAATATGCAAGCTTTTGCAGAAAGAAAGTGAAAAGCAGGGAAGATACGAACATATACACACATATTGTTGTCTCAAAAAATAAACACTAAAAGAATAAATCAAGAAGTGAATAAAAATGATTACCCATAAAGGACTAACAGACCAGGAGAGAAGAAATATGGATGGAAGTGAGACACCTTTGACTATAATTTGTTATAGTTTTGACTTTGAAATCATGTAAATGTTTTATATACTCAAAATTAAATAAAAAAGAACAAAACTAGTGACCCTCATATGTCCTACTGCTTTGTGTGGTAATGGAACACTAAGGTTGCTTACATCCCATTTCATTGAAATGAACCCCGACTATAAACTTGACTTAGCCAAAGCATTCTTCTTCAACAATAATAAAGTTCCTCTGCTATATTTATGTTTTGCTTCAACATATCTGAAAGCTACCATCTGTGACTAATAAGAACAAAACACTATCACAGATTGTTTTAATTTCCTGCCTGTTATCAGCAACAAGAAGGTAACCCTGGAAACAAAGATTTATGGCATTCTATTTCCTACTGTAGGTTATAACCAATAAAGGAAACCCAAGTATCCTCCAAGAGTTAAAGGTTTGTCTATAACAATGCCACACACACACAGCATAGAAGTATGTATACATTTCTCGTGTCATTAATGACAACAAATAACCCAGCTGGGCAGCCATCTCTCAAGTATTTAGCCCCTTCCTGAAAGTACAGTAAGGCAGGCCCACAGTATGACCCCGGTCCCTATTTAAGCACCCTTTGAAACACGGGTTCTCAGACTCCCCCAGTGGACTTGTTAAAACACAAATCACTGGACCCTACTCACAGAGCATCTGATGTAGTAGGTCTGGGTGGGCCTGAGAATTTCTAACAAGTTCTCTTTGTTAGAAGATGGTCCTGGTCCAGGAACTATGCTTTGAGAGACCCTGTTTTGACATAATTCATGGTTTGTGCTGCTACACAGAATCTTCACACCTTCAAGATGCTCCTACCAAACACAATATAAGGAAACAGGTTTCTGCTGGGGGGATGCAGGTAAAAGGACACTCCTGGGACAGTCCCCACAAAAGGAAAATTGTATCTAATGGAGTTTCTTTTGAATGAGTGGTAATAGGAATTAGCACTATCTAGGGTGTTTGGTGATCAGCACCAAAAATGAGAGAGTTCCAAGGGAGCCAGAATTGCACACCTGATGCTTCCTCCTAGGAGGACAGTGTTAAGACAATGGAAGAAGACTTGGAACGTTGAATGGGCATCCATCCTAAGGCATAGGAAAGAGAATAGAGTATGCCTACTGATTTTAGAATTAAGAGAACAAGACATAGAAAGCAAGACCTAAAAAAGGCATCAAGCCTCTTTGCTCTTGGGTGGAATTAAATCAACTCAAGCTGCTAAAAAAGATAAGCCCACCCTGCTTATTGGAGAAAGGTCTGAATCCCTGGCCCAAACGCTCCCCAAACTAGAGCTACACCTACCAGCATGCAGAACTCATTTCATTCCACTTTCTGGTACCACTGTTATATGTGCTAATTTCTCCCAACCTTGGAAGTAAATGGTGTAGCTTAAGGCTTTGGAGTTTCCACACAGTTTTCTGTATACCATGCAGCACAGAGCCAGAGTTAAACACAGATCTTTTGTTTTATCCAATTAATATGTCAGTCTTTACCCTGTGATTACTTCCTTAAAATAGATTTAAAGAAGAGACTCCAAATAAACTTGTGTGGCCAAGGGAATCTGAGAATTCTTATTGCAGCATTATTGATAAAAACAAATACTAATACTTTAAATGTACATCAGAAAAATAATTACAGTTTGGATACTCTAATAAAATAAGTATTTGGGTAATACAATAAAATATGAACCAGCAGTGAAAGTGAATGAATCTGAGTTGCATTTATAATTTCCTGAAATAATGTCCAGTGAACAGAGCAAGTATCAGGAGCAGTACCAGATATATACATTATGATCCATGTAAGCGAAGTAGAAACAATACTACATGATGTTTGTGGATATACACATAAAATAAAAATATTAAAATAAGCATGAGAGCTAGAGATCATATTCAGGATAGTGG